TAGATATTAGAAGGAGATAAGAGAAAGAGCGAGATTAAAAGGAGCAAAGTTATCTCTGTGGAAGAAGGAAAGGCAAGAATTTTTCAAGGAAAGAGGAATAGAACTATGTGAGATGGAGTTCCTGCTTTTCTTTCTCTCGTACGGATCACTTTCCCTCTTATCACTCTTTTTTTCTTATTTTTTTTCCAACATCTCCTGGCTATTTTATTTCTCTTTCCCAGTATACAACAAGCTAAATTAAAATCGAAAAGCACCTTATATAATCAATGCTAAATATATTGATACCTAATAATGTTCCTTAATAACATATTGCCTAATAATAGCACTTTTATGTAAACTTTTAAATGCATTTTTTACAGTTTTATAAACTGTCAATTACTGTCGGACTTAAAACACAATCTTAAAGAAGCTGGAATAAATAACACAATATAATATTATTATATTAATTTCAAGGGCATCTCTATATCTAACATATGGAGCGGTATTCGTAGTTCGTTTTTATTTTAAGACATTCTTAAGTAATGTTTTAAGATGGTAATACGGTTCTCTGATTGATTCATAATATCTCAAGACTATACTTAAAACAGTCTTGAATATAAGATCCAACTATGAAAACCAGCCTTAGTGTTTTATCAGAGAGAAATCAGAGAGTGGTTATCCCGGCTTTTTTCGTCTACCAAATCTCGTAGGGTAATGTCCACGTTTTGTAGTTCTCTTCCAAGTTAGACAAGGACAAATAATCAACATTGATTGTTTGTCTAATCCATTGTTTGTCTAATCCATATATAAATAGCATGGAAGAGAACCACAAAAACGTGGATATTACCCTACGAGCTAGGTTTGATACACAAAAAGGTCCACTCTCAGGTATCTCTCAGAGGGTCGATTGTATATGTCGAAATGAGGTGAAAATTACAAAAGTGAATAAATTCACTAGAATATTCATCATTTTATTGGTCAATATCTAGTGAATTTGTTCATTTTTGTAATTTTCACCCCGTTTAAAAATAATCGACTCTCTGATTTTATAATGCAATTGCAGATGTTAAAATAAAATTTTTTTAGAAAATTGTATTATTACAAACATTATAAAAAAAATAATAAATAATAGTTTACTATGAGTTTGTTATACAGACTTCTTTATACAATACTATACAATAAATATAATATGACAATTACTTCGCCGTTTTTGCATATGGTAGAAAGAGATAGAAGATAACACGAGCTACATGTTATATTGCATTTGCATGTACGCACACACTGTTTGTAAGAGTATCATCTGTGACCTGAATATATTACAAAGATATGATTTAAAAAAAAAGATAAAATACAGTAGATGCTAAGAATAGAACTCCTTGAAAAAAACATTATACCAATTAAAATATAAATCTCAAGTGATAGTATCTTCAACTATGATAAAACCGAAGTGGTATATATGCCAAATAAAACAATAAAATTATATGTTTATTAATAGATGTTGGCTCTTGTAAGAGGTGATGTCGGCTCGATCTAATATGTTAGATAAGGACAGATGTATACGTTTAAATGAGAGAGAGAGAGAGAGAGAGAGAGAGAGAGAGAGAGATAAAAAGTATTTGTAAGTAATAAATTAAAGAGACATTACTATTTTTATATACAATTTGGAATTAAAAAGCTTTGTACTATCGATATCAATCAAGTTCGGCCGTCATTCCAGAATTCCCTTAAATATTTTAAAATCTCTCATTTTATCATTTCCGAAAAAATTTATAAAATCTGAAGAAATTTAAAGTACTTTTCAGAAGTCTATATATAAATATATAAATATGTAAAATATATAAAATATATAATATTATACAGGGTGAGGCAAAAGTATGGAAACTCCCGAATAACTTCTGACGAGGGCATTTTACGAAAAATTTTAAATACAAAAGTTTTAGGAAATTTCTCAGGCTTTTCAGT